CAGAGGTATCTGGTTGATATTCTGCTCTATAAGTAAAAAGGAACATTGTGACTTTAAAAAAATCAGGAAAGAATTCCTTTTCTCATGTCTTTGCTTCCTCCAGAGCTCAAAAGAGGAACACTATAGGAGAACAAGCATTTTTCTAACATACCTTTATAGGGGGTTTAAGTGGAATTTCTAAAAGTCTTCCCCAAGTACTTAATCAAATGCAAAGAAGCCACAGGAAAAATGAAGGTGGAATTAAATGTGATCAAAAAGTGTGTCTTAATTATTGAACCCACACTAAGAAAAGTGTTAATAAGATCACTTGCCAGCTGTTTCAACTGAGCAATGCAAATAAGAAAGTCAAACAGAATTTGAGCCAAAGCTTGTTTTCCTTTGTGCAGGTTTTCTTTTTCTTCTAAATGTGGGGAATGCACTCAACATTTCCCACTCATTGGCACATGCACTGTCCACGTGAAGATGAAGACTGGTCACAAATGTTCAAAGCCCTTCATTCTCCAGAGTCAATTTCTCACTTGCCTGCATCTAAATATATAGGTGCGTACTTAGTAATAAGGAAGTCACCAGCTCCAGCTTCTTGCTGGTGAGTGTGTTTGTACATCACTGCGGAGCTACTTCCATGCAGCCATGTCATGCCCTGTGATTAATCATTCAGCTATCTGCTCCAACAGGCGCAGGGCTGCAGTGAATGGCACCTCTTGCCTACATTTGCCAATGCTTGAAAGTTAATGCGAGATAGATTTTAAACTTCCCCCCTGAAGAGAAATTCGCAACTATCTCATACTCAACCATATCTACATAAGAAAAACAAAACTAGGTTACTTTTAAAAGCATGACTTTTTTCTTTTTTTGCCATATGAGAACATGCAACTGTTGCCTTTAAGATTATCTCAACATTTATTGGGCACATATTTCTTTTTTTCTGGATAACTCTTTAAAGCTCACGTCCTCTATTAACTTTTACCACCTTCAAAGCCCCTAATAAGGACACCATCAGTTCAGTGACTAGCTCTGCATGAGCCATAGCTAAATTTTGTCCAAAGTTTCCTTCCCAATACACAACTTACTGTAGACTTCTCCTATGCTATGACTGATACAGTTATTAATGTTCTATTGATTCAAATGTGTTTACTGATAATTTTTATATTTGATTGCTACCATTCTGAAACTTGAATATTTTTGTTATGACCATTTGGTACAACATAAAATGACTACACATGATTTACTGTAAGAGGCAGGTGGGGATGTTTTTTCCAGACATCAGGATTGCTTCTGATGGATAGGAAAAGACTCTGCCCAATCCACAGCAAGAACACCACCTCTGCCATTTGCATCACTTCAGTTGTCATATACATGATTCTAATGAGATATACAAACAAATCAGCCTAGATTATTTTTTAACATGATCCTTGCTAACAATTATGCATGCAGATGAGTGGCGAAAGCAAGGCTTTGAATGAGGTTCAGCTGACTGGCAGTTATGACAACTGCCATTAAGCTTTGATACTTGTCAGCCACAATTATCATGTCAGGTAAATGACAGGCAGATGGTCTCAAAGTTGTCTGGGTGCGAGAGATAAGGATCTGGCCCACAGATGGGATCCTGCTGTAGGGCATGAAAAAAATCAGATGAAAATTGAAAATGTTAAAATTCAAACTTTTCCAGAAAACCCACATCAAATCTCTGTGACTGAGCAGGGATTTGAACTTGGGTCTTCGTAGTTAGGTAAATGCTCCAATACAGCACATGGTGGCTAGAATGTTGTCCCCAGGTTCCACAACTCTCATGAAGAAATAACAGAGATTGAAAATGTGAAGATGGCGGAACTCTGCCTCCCCCAGTTACTAGAAAATAACATCTGCCCAGGGCTGAGGTTGGATACATTTTCCTACAGGGAAATGTCCCAGCTTCTGCCAACCTAGCAGTTTGAAAGCACACTAGTGCAAGTAGATAAATAGGTACTGCTGTGGTAGGAAGGTAAACGGCGTTTCCGTGCGCTCTGGTTTCCATCATGGTGTCCCGTTGCACCAGAAGCGGTATAGTCATCCTGGCCACATGACCTGGAAAGCTACTCCCTCGGCCTGAAGTGAGATGAGCGTTGCACCCCTGGGCTTAACCGTCCAGGGGTCATTTACCTTTACCTACATCTTCCTAGACCGAAGTGCTTTCCATGCAGGAATTCTGATGTTTGTACCACTATTTAAAATGGAAATTCTTCCCTATCTACACATTATTAGGTCTGATGGTATGTTACATAGAATCATTGTAAAAGGGCAGAGGGTTCAGTCACGCACATATAGCAGCACTTACATAACTTTCTGATGAGGCACCTGATGAAACCTGTTGGGAGCTCACAAAATGAGCTGCCAGAGTTCCAGAAGTGCCCTAAATTTAACCTGGGTAATCTGATATGCAGGGAGAGGTTTACAAACCTTTTAAGTACTCACCTGGGGCTAGCTGCTGTATTGTCAGGCTCTTAGCCGGCTGAAAAATGCCCTAATCTAAAATGCCTTATCGCGTTTCCTTTTGAATAGCTTTCCCTTTACAAGCCTGGGGCCAGCAGTTCCCTTTATTAGCTGTTTTTAGCTAAAGTTAACTCAAGTTTCAGACCAGCTTCACAACCCATCAGAGTCAGAAGAATGTTTGAGGGGAAGGGGTGTTCGCACTGTGATCAAATTTGCAAGCCGTTTTACCGAAGCTATAGTTGTGATCCACTTTGTTTATTTATAACCCATCTTTCTTCCATGGAACTCATCCTGGCATTGACCAGACCTGACCCAGACCTGCTTAGCCTCAAGGTGGAGGCTGCATCATGGAGTTTCAAACATTCCCGGACTGGGACACAAGAAGCCACCTTTTACAAGGTCCCATAATTTGTCCACCTTTCCCAGCAACATCTCCTCTGACTGGCAGCAGTTCTTCATACAGGGTCTTTCCCCCATACACACAACAAACCTGACCAGTTTAACTGGAGACGCCAGGGATCAAACCTGTGTGCCTCTGTATGCAAAGTTAGTGCTCTACCACTGACCTACAGTTGCATCTCCTGGGCTCAGCTTTAAGCCCAAGCGCCCCTGCTGAAACGCCTTGTGGATCCCACTGCATGAGGGCTAGTCTAGAAATGTAGGCTGCAATACTTACTTTTTAAAAAAACTGCTTGCACTAAAGAAACATATGCTTTAGTTCACTAAACCACCCACTAGGTTTGGTGTTTGCAGACACACACGCTTTAGTAAAAAATTAAGCTGAGCTGGCTTCTGGAAATCCCTGCCAAGTTTATTTTCCGCAAGGGGTGGTGGAGACAATGCTCCATTTTTTTAAGAGGCTGTGATTCCCATCTAAAAGTACAAGAGTAGCAAAGGTCAGAGGTCACTTCTGTATCAGATTCTGATAATTGCAGCAGCCTCCAAAATGGGAGGAATACACCATGCCATCCAGTCTATTAAAGAGGTTGCTTACTCCTTGTTTTCTTACTTAGATGTACCTAGTGCTGGAATGTACCAAATTAGTACCTAACATTGCAGCAAACTATCAAGTTGTACCTATTTGGATGGTATAATAACAGCTTCCTTGTTTTATAATAGGATTGAATAAATCCTACTCTATAATGAGTTTCTACCTTCTGAAATTTTGAGGGAATAGATTTGTCTCTCTCGCACACAGTTTTGTAAAACTATGGGCTCTCTAGGCACTAGAAAAAAATACGTTATGAAGCTGAAAGTTGCAATCCTAAGTACTGTACACTTAAAAACTGGGAGTTTGTTAATTTTATTGCAATAAAATTATTATTATTATTATTATTATTATTATTATTATTATTATTTATACCCCACCCATCTGGCTGGGTTTCCCCAGCCACTCTGGGCAGCTTCCAGCACATATAAATACATAATAAAACATCAAACATTAAAAACTTCCCAACCAATAAAAACTGGGAGTATGTACTATTGAGTTCAATGTGAATAACTTCCACATAAAGACGAGCGCTAACAAAAATAGAAGGCAGGATTTTGTTGGATACAAACAAATTATTTTTTCATTTGGTAAATGTTGGCAGTTACTTGTGTATGGGCGTAGCCAGGATTTTTGTTAGGTGAGACAGACCTCTTGTTGGGGGTGGGGAAGGACGTTAGTTTGCTATGTATTTCTATTGAATTTTATTTATTTAGGGGGCAGGGCCCTTCCCTGTCTCCCCTTGGCTATGCCTATGTACTTGTGGCTACAATCCTATATATGTTTACTTGTGAGAAAGCCTCACTGAACACAGTGGCAGTTATTTTTGAGTAAACATATGTAGGACTGTGCTCTCTTTTTCTCTGTATCTCCTCTGATAAGAGCTAACAGCTGTTCCCAGCATAACAGTTCCCTGCTGGGGACATCTGTCCCTGTTGAATTTTTTTATGTCCAGACACTCATAGCTGTCAACTTTTCCCTTTTCTTACGAATAAGGAATTTCCCTTTAAAAAAAAGGGAAACGTTGACAGCTATGAGACACTATTATGGACAAGGTAGCCCTGCTAGGGAAAACGGTAGCAACTCTAAAGATTATGCACGCTCCTTCTAGAAGGCAGCAATGTCTCCAACAATTCCAACAACTGCTAATTGCCCTCTCACAATTTACGTTTCCATATGAATTAACTACTGTTATTATCAAGTTGCTCTAGGCAGATAATCAAATACATTCAACCAACACATTGAAAAACTACTGTATTCAAATCCCCCCGAGACTCCCCACCACACCTGTTATGCTTAGCTTTTACTAAGAGAAAAAAACACGCTTCAGAAAGCCAAATCAAAGTTTTGACCATACAGGCAACAGCATGACCGCCTCCCTTTCCAAATTCCTGGCGGAGCGAAGGGTTCCTCAGGGCGCAAAGTATAGATCGGGGTGGCAGGCAGATTCAATCGCGCTGCGCCTTTGACTACGGAGAGCCGGGGGGGGGGTGCGCGCTGCCACCCACCCACCTGTCGCCGCGATGCTTTTGCCTCGACTTACCTTTCGAAAGTAGCAGTCTCCCCTCTGGTCCGCCGCCCGGCAGCCCGAGGGCAACAACGCGTCCGTCATCGCCAGAGCAGCAGAGTCCGGGGTAATTCCCACCTCGCCCTGCGATAAGAGACGAGAGTCGCTGCGCTCGCCTTGCTCGCGGAGTCTGGCTCACCGGCGCTGCGCTGCGCACCGTCCAGGCGATGAATGTCTGTCTGAGAGAGCCCGGATCCCGGCTGCACTCTCGATCCCCTCGCCTTCCGTCGCTCCTCCTCTACCTGGGGAAGCCCACGGGAGATCGGGGTGGGGTGAGGGAGGAAGGGACGGAGGGACCGCCTCCTCGGATCTCCTGTGTATTTGTGGAGCCAGGCGGAGTCCGCTCCTAGCAACGGCGCTATCAGGACAGCTGAGCCAGCCCTTCCGAGAGTCAACAGAGACACCTCGGGGTGTGCAGGGAGCGGCAGCTTTCCTCTCCCTAACAGCAGGCAGAGGGAGGCTCCTCAGCTGATGCGCCAAGGAGAGTTTTTACCGAAAGTGACGCAGATTCAAGCAGCCGATTTGCCATGTAAAACTTAGGGGAAACACCAGCCAGGAACCCAATTCCGCAACTCCCCAAGCGACACTATTTGTGTCCTCCTGAATTCTGAAGAACCAGGTTGCCTCCAGACTGTTAGCAGTTTGCAGGAGGGAATCAAGCACGTGCTGGATATTTAGGCGGGCACAGTTACAGTGAATGGCAGTGCTCCCTCCCCCTGGCGTAAAAAATCCACTTGTTAAAAAATAAAGTAATGTTTTACAGCTTGAAAAGTGAGGAGGAAAGGCACTGAAAAGTGTAGGTGAATGAATGAGGAACAAGGAGTTGAGGTGCGGTATAAACACTCCACGGGCAAATCAGGAAGAAGGCTCCTTGTCCTGCAAACAAATCAGAACAGATGCTCAATAAAGGCCAGAGATAGACTAATAATCTGTGTGTAAGTCTTGTGCAAGCAAATGAATGCAAAATAAAAAGGGTCACCTGGAGGAAAAAGCAACCCCCCATGTCTGTGTGTGCAAGAAAAAAATCTCCAAAGTGTTTGTGCTGCTAAGGGTTGGCCAAGAATTGCTTGCATCTGAAGGGGATGTCCACAATGCCATCCCCAACGCCTTTGAAGATAATACTAACAGTGGTGAGACTGGCCTAGCTGTCAAAGGTGGGCCATAGGCATCAGCCAGAGGGGATGAACCAGGAGAGGGCAACTAGCAGCTGCCCAATAAGCTAGTAGTCAGGGCCAGAGCAAGTCAAGAACCGCACATGCACCAAAACTTACCAACCATAGCAATCAAGGATGCCAAAGTTCAGTAAGACCAGTTTAGGCAGGTACAGTTAGTCGGGGGCTGGAGCGCCTTTTCCTGAGAAGGTGCCACTTGCAGTTCAGTGGTTTGCCAAAGTGGGCAGCTGCCCACAGATCCAGCCAATTGAGGTTTTTTTCTTTTTAGAACAAAGTATTTTATGGGGCTTTTTAATCACACAATAAGCAAATTTGTCAATTTATTCCTACTCTCTGCTTCCTGCCACTTAACCAATTCCTGATCCACAAATGGATGTATCCTCTTATTCCTTGACTGTGCTAAGCTTACTCTGGATTCTTTGGTGAAGTATTTTGTTGAAAATAGTTTTGGCATCACCTGTTGCCAAGTTCCTTGGTTGTGAATTCTTGCGGAAAAAGTTCTCCATATACTGTACACTTTTTGTTGATACTTGGTCAAATGTTTTGTAGAATGAATCATTTTATTAGTCACCTACGATCTTTGAAGAACATTAATTCTTAAGTTAATTCAGAGCAAGCTTTCCATTGCCTCTTTGGCATGGGCAGACAATCGCAAGTGGCAGCTGTGTGAATCAAAGGAAAACAATTAGTTGCCAGGAAACTCTTCCCTGCTGGAAGCTTTCCTCTCCCTGGTGTTTTAGAGCTGCTTCTTTTGTCATCATTTTGTCTCTATTTCTGGAGAAGAATTTTCTTTCTATTGCTTCGCTTTATCTTCTGCAACACAAGAGATAATGTGGTCACTATGGCTCATTACCCTTCCCTCTTTCATGACTGAGTCATTCTCCATAGCGTGGGGAGCAGCTCCAAAATGCTGTTCATTCACACAAAAAAAGGTCTCAGGATGAATTGCAACAGACCCAGCATTCTTGAACACCCAGTGGTGTTCCGGTCAGTGGGAAGTACACATTGATAGTCTATAAAAATAGAAAGGCACTTAGGAAGGCTTTTACAACAACCATGGCAAAGATGACAAGTGCTATTTTTGTAGTGTTATTATTGAAAAACCCAAGCCTACTATTCTAAAAAGCTGTGAATTTAATTTTCTATTCATTTTAAAGTAACATCAAGCAGAGCCATAGCTACAGGGGGTGGGGTGGGGTAGCCAGTGGACTTCAAGAGTACTTCAACACGGAACCCATGGCCTGTACACTGCCTTGTTGCACAGGAGGGAGCAAGGTCAAAATATGTCCCCACCCCCACCCATGCTGCTTTCCCAAAACCAGATAAGTAAGGTGCCAGATTTTAGAAAGGAGATGCGAGGCTCTGGCAGAATTCTAGAGCCCTACCACCTTCTTCCTAATGCTGGGAAAGCGCTAACTAGGATTTGGGAAGGAGACTGGAGGACCCAAGGACCCTGTCAGAGCCCTCATGCCTCCTTCCCAAAACCAGTGGCTCCTCAAATGCTCCGGTGGGCTGACACAAAAGGCCTTGAGGTGGGCCCTGGGCAACTTGTTGGACCGCCCTGTTTAAATGTAGCCCATCAGAATCAAAAGGCCAGATAGAAATTAAATCAGTCAATAACTGTGCACAGGACTGCCTAAATTAGTTGCTACTGAGCACAAAAAATTATTGATTATACCTGCAGCGGTGGTTCCTAAACTCCCCCCATCCCCACAAACTACTTGAAAATCACTGAGACATAATGAGCTCATGATTCTGTATATATCTGGTATGTTTGATCAATCCCAGCTTGTTTATCTTAACTATTATAAAGCTCTAGGTGGGGTGAGTGTGTTGTCAATTGTAAAAAGATTTATGTGTGTGTGATGCTAGTGACGAATGCACAACTCTAGTTCTAAAGGTCAGGAATTTTTAATGGGTTGTCCAGCTAATATGGCACTCTGATGAGTTAGGATGACTATGTTGATAAGAACTTTTCTCTTAAGGCTGCCAACATGTTCCACAGAACAACCTTGTGATGTAGCTTAGGCTGAAAAGGGCTGACTGACACAAGCTCATCCAGACAGTTTTGTGGCCAATTATGAATTTGAATACAGATCTCCTGTTATGTACTCTAACAACACTAAATGTACAGTATTTATTTATTTTTGTATTGCATTTATAAATCACTTATTATATAATATCTCAAAGTGATAAATAATAAAATAATAAATAATTAAAAACTACAAATTAAACAATCAAAATAATTCTGTTTTTAAAAAATCATAACCAATACAGATACAGGTTGGGATAAAAATATCTACTTAAAAGTCTTGTTGAATAAGAAATGTCTTCAAAAGGCACCAAAATGACACCAGATATGGTTTCTGTCTGTTACATAACAGGAGGGAGTTCCAAAGGGAAGGTACCACCACACTTAGAACATGATTCCTACTTCTACAGAGTGGACCTCCTGGTGCAATGGTATCTGCAGAAGGCTTTCTCCTGTGAAGTGCCGTGATTAGTTGGGTATACAGTGGTGCCTCGCAAGACGAAATTAATTCGTTCCGCGAGTTTTGTTGTCTTGCGATTTTTTTCGTCTTGCGAAGCACGGTGTCGGGAAAGTTTTGGAAAAGCTTCAAAAATCACCAAAGTCTTTAAAAACCTCAAAAAAGGCTACCACACCGCGTTCTATGAGTTGCTCCTCGAAGTCAAGTCGCAACTGTATTAACGGTGTTAAGAAAAAGGAAACAAACTTGCAAGACGTTTCCGTCTTGCGAAGCAAGCCCATAGGGAAAATCGTCTTGCGAAGCAGCTCAAAAAACAAAAAACCCTTTCGTCTAGCGAGTTTTTTGTCTTGCGAGGCATTCGTCTTGCGAGGTACCACTGTATAAGGGGTGATATGATCTTTTAAGTACTGTATTTAAACAATAATACACATCCAATGAACTAGTGCATGCATTTGAATTTCTATATGGAATCTCTTCTGCAATTTTATTTTGTTTTTTTCAGCCTTAAGTCATTTATCTGCACCCAACCTGAGGGATGCAGTTTTTTGCATTCAAATTCTGTTGGTTCGGATCAACATGAGTTTTTACTGTTGTTATACTTCATGCCAACTTTGTGCATGGACACAAAACTTTAAATTCAATTAACAACAACAGCAACCACTTTCCTTCAATAATTCTGAAGTTATGCTTGAGTATGTTTTATACAGATATCATTTTACCTTTAAAGATTAAAGGGAGCCAGAGAGAAAAGTGCAATGACAACATCCTTGTTGGCTTATAGTTCTGAAAGTTTATATCATAATAAATGTATTAGTCTTTAAGGTGCCCCAAGTTGGATCACATCCATGTCATACATTTGAATCCTGGAAACTGACCACTGTCACTGAGCTGCACTTCCCAGGATTCTCTGGAAGAAGCCATGACTGTAAAAAGTGTCACAAGAGTGCTCTTACTCTACTTGCTGCATCAAAATGACAGGGCAACCCTTCCAGCAATTCTTCACGCCAAAATCTAGACACTGATGATAAGTCCTTGACTGACCTCTTCTGGCCAATGTATGACAGGTTTTAGAAATGTGTTCTTCAGAGACATGGGGTTAACGGCCTCATAACTTTTAAAACTGGGGTGGGGAAAAATCACACATGCACATATAAAGCAGCCAACTAAGGATCAGATGCATGCGTCGTGCATCTGGCAAAGTGGACTCTTAACCCAAGAAAGCTTATGCTACAATAAATCTGGCAGCCTTCAATGTGCCACAAAGCCCTTGGTTGTTTTCACTGTTGATCTTTCAGGTGCCAGAGAATACTGGGGTGGGGGGTTTTTTTTGTAAGAAATTTGACCTGACTTCCTGGCCCTTGAATACAAAGTATATATTTGAGGCACATTATTTCAATCAAAGAGTTCAGGGCCCTGTAACTTATCTGTCATAAAGAGACATTTCTCAACAAACCTTCACAAATCACAGCACCCAGAATCATTCAAGGGCAAAAAATGTACTTCGAACATGATTTAAAGATGACAGAAATACAAATGGAGTTCATTCTATGGACCCTTTGTTGCAGGATGGGGTCCAGGGTGCATCCTAGGTGCCTAACAGTTGAAGTCTATTGAAGTCAGGTTGGTGTAGTAGTGGTTAAAGTGTTGGACTAAGACCTGGAAGACCAGGGTTCAAATTCCTACTCAGCCATGAAGCTCACGAAGCTCACTAGGTGTAGTTGGGCCAGTCATGGCTTCTCAGACTAATCTACCTCACAGGGTTGTTGCAAGGATGAAATGAGAGGGAGAATTTCCTTGAGCTCCTTGGAGAAAAAGTGAGATAAAAACGCAACAACTACTAATAGTAACAATAACAATAGCTGGGGAACTGATGGACTGGTATCGACCTGTTTTTAGCACTATAATTTATTTCCCCCCGTTATATCGACGTGGTTTTAGCATTGTAATTTTAGCATTATAATTCGGTCTCCCCGTTATATCGACGTGTTTTAACAGAGGGCGCTCCCGAAAGGTGCTGAAAGCGCTCGGTTCCCTAGGACGTTTTTTTTGAGACCCGAGGTGCTTATTTTCCACGACCTACCTTATCCTTGTTGTTGTTATTATTAAGTTATGATCGGAAGTTGTTCCCGGCTATAATATTGTGTTTCGACGTTGCAACCATAGTTGTCAACGTTTCCTTTTTAAGGGAAATTCCCTTATTCCGAATAGGATTCCTCGCAAGAAACGGGAAATGTTGACAGCTATGGTTGCAACCTGCCTTGGGGCACCTTAGGGTGAGGGGGCGGGTAAAATAAAACAAGGAAAGAAAGAAAAAATCCATGCTATTGTCCGTCGTTATAAAAGAGTCCTGCTGGCTGGCGTTGTGGTGGTTGTGTAGTCGCTATGGCGTTTTCTGTGCAACCGTTGCCGATAAGCCGACGGTGTGGGGTCAGCAGCAGCAGGAGAGGCGCCCCGTCGGTTCCTCCGCCCGCCCGCCCGGCCGAGGCGTGTCAGGCCGCGGCTCTGAGCTCGAAGGCGCCGCCCCGCTGAGGGAGGCCGAGGAAGAGGCGGCACCGGGGCTCCTCCGCCCCTTTGGAGGCCCGGCAAGATGGCGGCGGGCGAGAGCAGCAGCAGCGGCGGCGACGATGACGAGGAGGCAGAGCTGGTGAGCTTTGGCACGCCGTTGGAGCCCCTGGAGGAGGGTGAGTTGGCGGCGGCCAGGCCCACCTCCCTCCGCTTCTTCTCGGGGCCTCTCTGAGGGGAGAGCACCGCCTGTGCTAGGGACCCCGCGCCCCAGAGTCCACTGGGGAGAAGGGGCGGGGGGGGGGCTGATGTGCTCCTCTTGTTTGGGAGAAGGGTTCCAGGAAAAGGGGCTCAGGCAGGCTGGAGGCTGGGGGGTGTTTATTGGTTATGGGGGGCGGACCCTCACCCTGCCTAGAAGGATGTGCCAACCCTTTTATTTCGGGGGTGGGGAGGTGGGGTACACACCTCCAGATGCTGCTGGGCTCCAGACTCCATGGCACCCGATCTTTTTGCTCATGGGGGTAGCCAACTGGTGGGGCTGTGGGGGGGGGCAGTCCTTAAATTCTCTTGAAGTGTTTAAAAGCATTAAAAAATACTTAAGAAACTGAGGTTCTGCCCCTCCCCCCAAAACAGAAGCCTCCCTCCGTAGTATCCTCTTTTTGGTGGTAGTTTAAAGGAAATGTCTGTGATTCCACCCCCACCAAAAAAAAGGTCAGTCATTTTTGGGGCGATCTCACTAAGAAAGCTCAAACACTTTTTCACACACACACACACACACACACACACACCCTAACAAAAATGCCCATTTCTTTGCCGGTTATGGCTGCTGGGGCTGAAGGGTGCTGGACACATGGAATCGTAGGGCTGGAAGGGATCCCCAAGGGGTCCTGCAATGCAGGAATCACAGCTCAAGAACCCTTGACAGATGGCCTCCCAACCTCCACTTTAAAATATCTAATGAAGGAGAGTTGTTGTTGCTATTCGTAGGATTGTACAATTGTAGAGTTGGAAGGGATTCCAAGGGTCATCTGGTCCAACCCCCTGTAACGCAGGAACTGCAGCTCAAGAACCCCCTGACAGGTGGCCATCCAATGTCTGCATAAAAGCCTCCTAAGGAGGGTCCACCACCTTCTGAAAGTTCTTCCTAATGTTTAGTCTCCCTGCATGTCCCCACAGTTAATGTGTAGATCGCCTCTCACACTGGTTCAGGTATTCTTGCTTAAAATGGGGTAGGAATTAGGACTGCAGTTCTACTTGGGAATAAGTCTCATTGAACTTGATGGGACTTGTTTCTCAGTAGATATCCATAATCTTGCACCATAAGACTTTTAAGCAAGTGGCTGAACTGAAGAAACTGATCATACGAAACCAGCCTAATACTTATGATGCTGTGTGTGTGTGTGTGTGTGTGTGTGTGTGTAGCTCAGTACTCCTAAACTGAAACAGTACATATTCCAGTGGTTTTGTTTGACTACTCACTGGTGCCATATGTAGCTAGAAGTGCATGTTGGAGGTAGGGTGTAGTTGGAATGGAAAAGTAAGTGAAAATCACTGTATTTTCTATCTTTTGATCATATTGATTAGTGAGCCTGTTTGTTGCTGCTCTAGCATAGTGTTTAGTTGACTTTCCCCCCCTTGTCTCATCTTGTTTATACGAATTTGGGAAGAGAGCTAGCATGTGAAGGAGATGCCCTCTGTGCATAAACCAGGAGAGGAATGGCTTCTAGGCCCTTTCTCCCCTGAGTCTGCCTTGATAAATTGGCATTGCTGGGCAGGGTGCGAACTAATTTTCATAGTGGAATAGCAAACCCATATGCCTCCTCTTTACACCTTTCATTCACTGTTCTGATTAATTTATGCTTCTTAAAACAATAATTGCAGGTGAGCGAATTAAGAAACCTGTTCCTCTCCAAGAGCAGACTGTCAAAGATGAGAAGGGACGGTACAAGCGTTTCCATGGAGCATTTAGTGGTGGTTTCTCTGCTGGCTACTTTAACACAGTGGGCTCAAAAGAAGGTGGGTAATTACTAATGTCTAAAAGTTCTTTTCTTTCTATCTTACACAAAACTTCTCAGGCGAGCTTACTTCACAGGGTTATTTTGAGGATAAAATGGTGGGAAGAAGAACCACCTATGCTACCCTGGGCTCTTTGAAGGAAGAATGGGATATTTAAAATATTTATAAATTTATTTGAATAATTTTCACCCTGGCTTTTGTGGCACATTGTCCTTGCAGTGTGACTTACAAAAATATTTTAGAACAAAATACATGAATATGATAAAGTACTGTCCAATTAAAGCAGTGACAGTTAAAATATATGCTACATTTGTTCAGTTTCTTGCTAATATTTTTTCATTATAAACTGTTGGTATTTTTTAGCTTTGGATATGAACAAATAAATATTGTTTCTAGTTGCTATTAGATGCCATTACATTATTTTTATGTATCTTATGTATTTACATTATTTTGTGACTAGTTTTTATCCTAATCTTTTTATCATGCCCCCAGTTTGTTGGCATTTGTTTCCTGTTTTTTTAACACTTATTTGGTTCTTATAGGCATTTGGAGGAGTACCTCTCAAATTCTCTTGTGGTTCAGGCTTGCTTCATTTAAAATACTCATGAACTCAGGGAAGTCTGCATGGGGTTCCAGACAGTCCCTTATCCAAGCAGTGACCAAACCCTGTACCACCCACCTTCAGCCCATGCTTTGGCACAGCCACAAAGCTGCTCTATTCACTGGAACAAAGTGAGGGTGATAATTGCAACAGTATGAAGGACCCAAGTCATTTGGGCTCTCATAGGGTAAAACTAGCATCTTGAATTGGGTCCAAATGCCTTAGGAGGCCAGTGTAAATGCTAGTTTATTAGCACTGCATAATTACAGTGCCATACTGTGCATGTTTACGCAGAAGTTAGCACCACTGATTTCAGTGACACTCACATGCGAGTGTGCACAGGATTACAGCCTTACGGTAACATTATGTAATTTTAAATGTAACTTTTCATTTCCATTATGAAATATTATGATAGTGTTTTAATTACTCATGTCTTATAAGAATGAATTGTTATTGTCTTTAAAGGATGGGCACCGTCAACCTTTGTATCATCACGTCAAAACAGAGCAGAAAAAACAGTTCTGGGGCCAGAAGATTTTATGGATGAAGAGGTAAATTTGCAAATAATGCATTTTAAAGAAAGAAATAAAACACTGTCATAATCCTTTTTAAGTTCCAGGTGGATGGGATGTGTGTGTCTGTGTTCTGGTTATTCATTAGTCTTAAGTATATATGTGTGTACTGTTATTTCTGCAATGCGCAATAAATATGAAGTATGTTTTGCTGAGAACCAATGCATTTTATGTTACGATGAAGCTGCTCTTTGTTTGTTTGTTTTCATTTCAAGATATGTGGATTGAGGAGGAATCCTTTTTAATTTGATTTGTTTCTTCTTACTTTCTCCCCTTGCTCCAAAGGATCTTGGTGAACACGGGATAGCACCAAAGGAGATTTCAATTACAGATGAATTTGCTTCCAAAAGCAAAGATAAAATAAAAGAGAAGGCCAAACAACTTGCAGGAGTTGTTGGCCCGATCCCTGGAGCCACTGTGTTGGATGAATTTATAGCACCTGCAAAGTAAGTACCCATTATGGAAAATTATTTGTGTTAATGAATAAAAGGCAATACAACTGATAGTGGGTTAAAATTGGGGAAGGGGACATAGACTCGGCAACACCAGCTTTTCCTTCTCAGACTTCACTGATGCGAAATCTAGAGCTCTGAAAACTTGGCCTGTGTTTTGCTTGATGTTTGCAGGTATTGTTTACACAAACTTTTTAATATATGTGGTTACAAAAACTATTAAAAATTTTCCTTTTCAGAATAACCATTGGTATTGACTTGTTGCGAAAAATGGGCTGGAAAGAAGGACAAGGAGTTGGGCCTAGAGTAAAGAGGAAACCACGGAAGCAGAAGCCTGGTATATTCCATGAAATGTTTTGTATTGTATCACTCAACCACATAAAAAAGTGATCTGTCTATTCCAGTCCACTATAAAGTTGTTTGTATAATCCCCATTTATTTATTTATTACACTTATATGCCGCCTTTCCTCCAAGGAGCTCAAGGTAGTTTCCCCCTCCACAGTGAGTTAGATTAGGCTGAGAAATTGTGACTGGCCTTGGCATGAATCCTCATGGCGAGTGAGAATTCAAACTGGCTCTTGCATTCCATTCTATGTCAACCTTATTGTGACCCACTTCAGTGGAGCCACAGCAGTGTAGCCCTTTGCATAGTCACGATAATGAAGAATGATAGAAATTTAACCTTGTGTCTTCATACTTGGTTGCAGAGCCTGAAGTGAAAATATATGGCTGTGCTTTGCCCCCTGGATCTGAGGACTCAGAGGTATTGATTCTGGAACACTTTACTATGGGTGGGGGCCGCTGTTTTTTGTTTCACCTGCAGTTGTGCAAAGCGCGCAAAGGATCATTTCCGATGAGATTAACATTCTTCTTAAACTGTTACTCCAATTTTCTAGATCACTGTTACTGTCTGTAGACGTTTACTAGATAGCATAGCTAACCAAAAAGAAGTCTCAGCTCCCAAAAGCTTGCAATGTAATAACTCACAATGGGGCAGAGCCAGGCATCCTGGAGCCACATGAGTCCATTGGCCTAATTTCAAAAGCCTTTTACAAGTGGTCAGTTTAGATGAAGTCTGAATGAAGAGAAATGGGGTTGGGCAGAGGCTCACCTTTGTTCTGGCCGGTCCCTCCAGTGGATTCAGCTCTGCAGTCAGCCTGTAGCTTCCGAACACAAAACTGTTGTCCCCTGCAGCAGAGGAAGGATTGAGGCAAGGTTTTCTTGGGGTGAATGCAAGCAAGGTCTTTTGCTGACCTCAGTAACAATGCATTGTTACAAATGTGTGTTAATTTCCTAAAGGAAGAAGAGGATGAATATCGC